GGCAGTTTCCATCTAAGACATCGAATACCCACAGCTTCTGCTCAGCGAGAGAGTAATACATCAGTTTGTCGACTGATAGTTCGGGCTGGGTTCTACACACCAGTGCATTTCAGTGTATTAGTAATGTGGTTTGTGATGGAAACTTGTGGTACTGTATTGACTGATTTGAATAGCGAATTAGGCCAGTGTTCTTCAATGCGAATCGATTGGTGCCTTTTCCTTTTACACAAGTGTGTGTTCCTACACGTACATTTAGATTTACTAACAGGTTGAGCAGGTTAGGAAGACAGTCTATCCTTCACAGGTGGCCTGAAGGGGAAATGCATCCTGAAGTGGACACGGATGTGTTCGTCGTCTTCTCTGAGTTTTAAGTGGATTTCTGTTTTCGTCACTGAGGGTGTTCCTGTCCTGTCTTCGACGGTAGTAAAGAGTTTTTTGTATGCTGCTATCGGACCATATCGTGAACGTGATATTCCGTCGATGCGTTTGTTCTTGGCTTGGCGGCTTTCAAACGTCGATCAACGAACTAAAGACGTCTTATATTCACCGTCATCATCGCCAACGCACCATCATCGTTCAGCACTGATGCTCTGCTGCCGTTCAACGATGATTTATTTGAAAGCCTTGTTGTGAAGGAAAGAGTAAAAATGAGTGCGGAAGAGACGAAGCGACAGCCCACTACAATCATTCCGAGATGTCTGTACTTCCAGATACTAATTCAAACAATCTAGATAGAAACCGACAAGGTGAATGCGATTCACGTCGACTGACAGCCACATCTTGGAGCTCCTCCAACTAGGCACAGTCAGGATCACGCGGTCCTCATACGCCTTTGAATATTCACCCGCCTTCAGTCAGACATTAACATCATGACGAACCCAATTCTCCAGGTTACAGTTTCCAGTATCTTTCAGTGGGTTAAAGAATGCGTTTCCAAAAACTGCATATCCTACAGATGGTTCAGTGGTTATAGTGCGAATTTACTGACCGGAAGATCCGTGTTTTAAACTCGACCTCTGTCTCCTGACTTCCCCTGTCTAGGCTTGGGCAACGTGGCAGTATCCCAGTCGGGTCTCCAGCAAAAACTTGGTCTTATCGGAGATTCATTGCTTAGATAAGGTTTGCTGGGTTGCGCCGCAAACAGACACTCTGGCTTTGAGCAGCGCTTTGGATATTTCTCCCTTTGGCCGTTTATATCTGACACCGTATCTTTCGGCAGGCATTTGAGGAGCTGGTTCTGATATTTTCGTTCAACTGCTGGGTCCACTGGCTTCTCAATGGCTGAGCGAGGTATGTGTGATTTGCGTACACCTGAAACGCGCAATGAAAATCAGCAACGTACAAGTGCATCGACGGAGTCCACGATGGTGTTCCAGAAGGAGCGGCAGTCGGCGATCGACCCTCGCCACCGATAGCTGATGGCAGTGTGGCCTATTTAGATTCGGGGCTGGTTTGTTGTCAAGGGATTTCCGCCGTTCCGGAAATTCGTACTGCAAAGGAACAGTCTGAGTTGGCACACATCTGGAGTAAGCGGTCTCCGTTGTCCGTGGGCCTCGTGTCCAAACCCAGTCGGGCCTCAGCAGCGCTTAGTCTACCTACCTGGAC